CCCAACCCATCGTCAATTAGAAAAGTGGGTTAACAGAGTAAAGAGAGAAAAGCAAGCGAGACTTTTCAAGAGATGCAGATCAACAGCCAACACATTCATTCATAGGAGAGTATGTCACCTTTTCCCTTAGCGTTTAAATACACTTCCTGTGCACTGAGTAACCAGGGTGTTGTGGCACAGCTTGCGACTCTGGCATCTCATATCATAGCACCTTCCAATCCAGCTTCCCCATAACGTGCCTGAGAAGGTGGCAGAAGGTGCTACAAGTGCTTGGGCTTCTGCCATCTGCATGCAGATGGAGTTCCTTGCTCCTGCCTCTGGCCTGGCCCAGACCTGGCTGTTGTGGCCAGTTGGGGAGTGAACCAGTGGGTGGAAGATCTCTCTCTCTCTCTCTCTCTCTCTCTCTCTGTCTCTCCTTCTCTTATCACTCTACCTTTCAAATAAATAAATTATAAAAATAATTTTAAAAAGGTGTAACCAGTTATGTGCACTCAGAGAAGGGAAGATTACCTTCAAGGTGATTGGAACTCAGAGACAGGGAGCTTGAACCCGGCACAGGGCAGGGATCCAACTTGCTCAAAGGAGAGCTCACAGAAAGGGACAGGGAGGAGTGTCTGCCTGTGGAGGCATGGAAACCCTACCAGAAACTTCAGTGCACTTTGCATGAGTCTAAGTGGCTAGGGCAAGGCTGAGCTGTGAGTGTGCCTACTGCAGGTGGCCGGTCAAGAGCGACAGGGAGGGGGTCTTTCCTATTTTGGATTCCAGCACCGGCACAGATAAACCAGTGATGGGGCCAGAATCCACAAGAAGGCTTGTTCCCTAAAGCGTAGCTTCTGACAAATGGGTGAGACTTGAAGGAATCACATTCTTTTAAATGTGAAGAAGAGATGGGTAGGAGCCCCGGCCTGTGACCCAATAGAGGGAGAAACTCAAGAGGGAGAGTAGACTCTGCCAGACCCAATGAATTGTAACGAATGTTGGAGAGGTGGTAATGGGGACAGATCTATAGGAGTTATTGTGTTTTTCTTGACATGTTCTGTTTAGCAAAGGAGGGATACAAAGATAGATAGAAGAAGGGCACAGTCCCCAGGACAAACTTGAGAAGAGTGACACATTTCTGTGAGAACAGAGCCTAACTTGAGCTGAGGATTCCAAAACAAAACAAAACAAAAAAACACCCAAGTGGCAAAAAAGAAAAATAGGGTGGTGGTGGATTATTTTCAGTTATGATTAGAAAAAGGCTGAAGTCCATTACTGGGAGGTCACAGTAGCACATTAACAAAGGATAGTGAAGGGAAGACAACTGGATTCCCATTTTGTCTAGCTTCTCCATAAAAACAAAATGGTCCTCGGACTAGAAAGACTTCCTGAAGCTTCCTTACATGAACACTGGGCGCTAGGTACAACAGTAAGTGGAACAGCCGTAGCCACTGTAGTTCAAAGTCCCAAGCCTTGCAGATTCCCCTCCCCGGGCCCTGGACAAGCTCAGAGAGAGGCTAACAGAGCCAGTGTACTTGATCCACGAGAAACTCCTGGAGACTGGGAGAGTTCCAGGAGACTTCTGTTAGCAAATGTCCCAATTTACCCAAGAGGGAAAGAAAAGGTTCCTGCTGTATGGACCAATATGCCTGGGGAAACTGTAGGCCATATGAATGAGAGGCTTTCAAGCTCTTCCAAAAGAAGAGATGGATTTTGAAAATGAGAATGGATTTGAGACAAACAAGCCAAACCAAATGGCTTTATTGGCCTTTTCCCTTATATGTAACCTAAAGGGGCAAGTTGGGGAAGGCTACAGTACTGTATATCTTGAAGTAATTTAAAAAAAAAGGCTCTGTATCTATTTAGATCGCGTGATTGTGCCTTGGCCATTCTAAGAATTTGGCATTTGGGGACCCAACCTGCTGTCTGAAGCTTTGGGCCTTTGCCACATCGTGTCCCTCATCTATGGCTGTCTGTTCTTCAAGACTCTGCTCAAACACCACCTCCTCTTGGAGACTTTCTCTTGTGCCCAGCAACACTGGAGGGCCCTTATCCGCGCAGGCCAAGCACTCTGTGCACGGTGGCATCACTATCACTGTGGCCTTTCCCCGGGCTACAAATCGATGGCCTCTTTATCTGCCTACCCCAGTGCAGGCAAGCTCCCAAAAAGGGTTGCGTTTGCAAAGTCTGGCACAGTGCCAGGCACTTTGGGACCCTCAAAATGCAAGGAGTATTTGAATGAGTTTTCTTAGAGTTCAAAGTCACAGTGAAGCAGGCTGTCTCTGTGTTCAATGGGCTTCTCCAAGGCTATACTTTTACCAGTGACTTGGAAGTATAATTTATTTTTAGGGACTACAAAGCTGGGAAAGAAATATAATTAGCTCAAGGTTCAGAACTGAACAATCTATGACCTGGTCATAAACCCAGATTAAGTTTTTTATATAGTTTGACTTTTTAATATTTTCTTGTAGCACCCTAAAGGCATAGTTTTGTCTGTTTTGTTTTTGGGTGAAATTCAAAGATAGATTAGCTAAGGCAACGTATCACAGACAAATATGTAGGTACTGGTAGAAATGTTACATCAGGGTGCTATTCTTCACACTTTCATATGATACTTTCAACTATGCATTGCGAATAAAGGCAAACACATTGGATACATGATGTAATATCAGTGACCATAATGCATATTATAATGTGATGTCAATAAGCCACTTATTATGCATGTTTATCTGGGCTTCCAAAATGTATAGATACTGTATGGAAAGACAACCAACAACCCCAAACAAAAATTTAATAGAAATGATCATGAAGCTTTATATTAAGTCTCCAAAAAAGTCAATTAGATGTCTACAGTATGGAGAATCCATCCATGCACCCATCCACCCATCCATCCATCCACCCATTTTGAGCACTCACTATGTGCTAAATACTATGCTAGGATTTAGTGGGAAATAAACGCTTCCCCTGCTTATATACCATTGAGGGAAATAGATAATAACTAAATAATTTCAAATGGCAATGAGGGCTATGAGTAAATATGTGACAGGACTACATCTGGGGATAAGGGCATATGAAGATGCGTCTCTGAGGCTTGCAGGATGTTTATGGCAAGAAGAGCTAGCTGTGCCTACTTGGTCATTAGCTTCATTTGGCCAAAAATATATTTTGATGGCTAAAAAGAAACCTCAAGCCTGGATCATAATTATAGAAGCAGAGTCATAAAATCAAGAGCAGTGTCAATGCTACCATCCCTGCTGAGGCCACACCACTTCTAGACCACCTTATAAAGTTGCACATGCTGTACTTCAAGAGAGTCATTGAGTGTATCCAGAAGCATGGTCTAGAAACCACATCTTATGAGGCAAGGTTGAGAGACTTAGGGAAGCTCAGTTTACAGAAAGAATCACAGTCATCAATAAAATATTCAAAGATTCAAGATGTTCAGAAAAGAATGAAGGAGTCCATTCTGTGTTGTTCTACAAGTCCAGTTCTGCACTATGGAGGAGACAGCATAGTGGGGTTCAGAACAGGGAGACACTGTCAATAGAATTAGCGACATACAGAAATGGAATAGGTGTTCGGAAGAAGTGAGCGCTCCAGCCTTAGGACTATTCAAACAGAAAGTGCGCAAGCATCTGTAAATAGTGATGGGGGCTAAGGGTTTGGCCCATTGGTTGAGACACTACTTGGGACACCTGCATCTTACACCTGGGCCCCTGAGTTCCGTCACTGGGTTCACATCCTAGTTCCACTCCCGACTCCAGCTTCCTACTAATGCTCACCCCAGGAGGTAGCAAGTGAAGGCCAAGTATTTGGGTCTCTGATACCCACATGTATTGAGTACCCAGCTCCCAGCTCTGGCCTGGCCCAGCCACAGCTGTTGTGTACATCTGGGGAGTGAACCAGCAGATGGAAGCTCTGTCTGTCTGTCTATGTCTCTCTGCCTCTCAAATAAATAAAATGTAAAAAATAGTGATGAAGGGATTCCTATATTTAGCAAAAAGATTCCCTTTCAGAACAGATCTTTGGCAATGGGATAGAGCCTTATTCCCTTTAGTGAAAGATTTTCTCATCTTGGAATGTCAAATCATCTTTGAAGCATTTGAACCACAACAACAATCATGCTAAGTGTTTCAGATCCCTCTTCCCCCCTAAGAACATCTGTTTCCTTGGAAGAACGATCTCTTGACGATCAAAGGAACCGACCCATCTTTAGAGGTGGGCTTCTCCTGACACTGGGGCAGCAGGATCTCCCCCTGGGAGGCCTACACCTGTGGGGGAGCTGCCTCTCTCTCCCCTTCTCTGTCCTCAGCAAGAGTGAGGTGACCGAGGACAGGAATCTCTGAGAGATGCCTCCAGGCTAAAAGTGACCTCCACTCATTCGTGTTTCAGAGACCCAACATATGGGTCTGGCTATTACATATATAGCCCTGGCTATTACATATGGGACCAGGAACCCTGTCAAGGCTCCCAATAATAGCATTTAACTAAAAGCAACTGCATGGTGCTTTTACTCAACAATCCCCAACTCTTCCCCGTGTCCATATGTGTGCATTTACCTGGGTGTCTGTAAAGATCTCCAAACTTGTCACTTTATGGGATCACGTGACCCATGTCTTAAAGTCAAAGGCTCAGTTCCATCTGGGAGCTCTAGAACTTTCTCATAAGGCACAAGGCCTCTCCTTCTCTCTCTGGAATGTGGATTTATCTCGGGCAGACAGGGTCTCCACTTTCTGTTCCAGATGCCCTTTGTAGCCTGTATTTTCATGGAAAAGTTCAACCATGCTTTATAATGGATATAGAAAACCTAACTACTCAACAAAATCACTTTGTGATTATGATCTGATAGTGTATCAATTCTATCTTTACCCATATTTGGAACAGAAATAAAAACCCACTAAGATAAATGTTTAGGTCGGAATGAACCTGAATCCAAGACCCATATATTTTCTTATATTTGCTTTGTGACTTTTGAAGGACAGTGGTAAGCAGGAGATGTAAGTTCAGGGAAGCACCCATACCTGAGCCACAGACCACGAAAACGAAGAGGGCTAACAGCCATGGTCCCACAGGATATTTCTCTTCTTGTGGCCTCTGAAAAAAAAAAAAAAGCAAGATTAGATTCATTGATTCAATCCATTTACTGACTACTTCTAGGCCTGGCACTAGATGCTAGGAATTGTGTGAATGCGACAGACTCACTCTTAACCCGCAGCAGGCAGACAAAGATGAACAAAGTTAATGAGTTCAACTTTGGGATAGGTTTACAACAATTTATCAGTACCCTTACTAACATCCGCAGGACTCAGTGAACTTGGTTTTTCACATGAGGGGACTTCAAAAAGTCTGAGGACAAATGGATTTAAAACACAAGTTCAGGGGCGAGTGTTGCGGCATAGTGAGTTAAGATACCACTTGAGACTCCTGCATCGCATATAGGAGTGCCTGAAATCAAGTCTCACCTCTACTTCTGATCCAGCTTCCTGCCCATGTGTCTGGGAAGTATTCAGGTCCCTGTCAATCACATGGGAGATCCAGATAGAGTTCCCGGATGCTGGGTCTGGCTTGGCCCAGCCCTGGCTATTACAGGCACTTGGGGGAATGAACCAGCCAATGGAATCTCTCTCTCTCTAAATTTCTCTCTCTCTCTCTCTCTTTCTGCCATTCTTTCAAATAAATAAAAAACAAATAAATAAATTTAAAGGAGAAGTTTACTTTGACACAGAAACTTCAAAAATTCATCATATGCATCTTCCATGAACTTTCTGAAAACCCCTTGTATTCTGGGGACCAGCTAGGGCATAAATACAGAAGGGTATAAATACAGTGATTTGGGAGAGAAGATGATCTAATAAACACTGCTTCCAACTGTTGAAACCTCATTGCATGGCAGGCACTGTACTATAGGCAGTGTGTACCAGTTACTTCCAGCACACCGGCCCACGGAAGGCAAGCATTATTATTTCCAGTTTGTAGTGGAGAGGCTGAGACTCAAAATTTGTTAACTTGAGCCAGAGCAGGGAATCAAGCTTAGTACACTGTCTGGGTACTTTCCACTTACTAGATTCATTTTAATTCCCACATCCTGAATTCCAAGCAGGATCAGAGAGCACAAACATTTTCTCAAAACCTCCTATAAACCAAAAAAATTGGGAAGTCAGAGCCGTGGAAATCCCTGGAACAAGAGAAGCACCATGGCAACTGCGGGTGGCTGTGAGGGACGAGGCGTTGTATGATCAAGCTCGTGGGTCTCGGCAAAGCTCAGCTTTGGGGATGTCTCTGCATTCTCTGGGCAGGAAGGGGCCTGCTGGACCCACACAAACATCACCTCCCATGCCTGCTGCTCTTCTCAAACCCAGAACACAGACTGATGAGAAGACCATCTCTCCATAATACACCAAGGACCGTGTGCAGGCAGGTCCTTCAAACCCAATCGGCTAAGGGAACAATGCTTATGTCCTGAGAGGGACATCAAGGAAAAGGGAGAAGGAAGAGACTGACCAAAAGAGCTCACTATTTCCTCATTAGCTAGCACAAAATAGATGCTGTGTTCAACACAGGTACACAGCTCAGGCACAAAAATACACTGGTGGAGCAGACATACTGTTCACCTCTGGCTGAAATCACAAAACCTGATTTCACAATTCAATGAAGTGCTGTTGGTGTTTTAAAATTATATCCAGCACTGTAAAGTGCGGGCTACAAAGTGCAGTCATGACTGTACAAACTTGACTGCTGCACATTCACACTCAAAGCGGGTCATGTTTGTGTTTCTAAAAGACAAGGGGTGCTGTGCCTAAGGATGCAGTTTTCTTAAATACTGCGAAAGCTTGAGTAAAGTATCTGACAAACAATGGATAATCTTTGATTTTCATTGTAGGTGCTTTTCTGTACAATCTGCCAAATATGGACAAAACAAATGGTATGTTTATATATATAAAATGGAGTTATGTTCTAGACTCACGTAAAGAAAAATTGGCTTGGCTTCATCAAAAAATTTTCTCATTTCATTATAAAGAAGGTAACAATTCTTTAGTTCTTAGCATGCCTATTACTTTCCCAGAGAGCTTTCCCTCTGACCTACTTGTCACCTGTACAACCATGAACTTCTTCATAGCATCTATCAGTTGACAGTTTCATCTTCCTCCCTGTGACAACACATTGGATGTCTGTCTCACCACCGGGCAGGCACTGTCTCTTTCAAGTATAAGTGTACAGCAATGCCTGGCACAGAACTTTATACAGTTCATGCTCATTGAATAACAAGAATCCACGGTTCATTAAATCTGATTCCTTAAGTCAGGTCAAGTCAGCATCTAAGAAGAATATTGTCTTTTTGTTGTACTCCCTAACTGGTGGGAGGTTATCTTCACATTCTTCCTGCTAGAGAGGCATAAGGTATCAGTGGGCAGGCAGATCTTGCTCGCTTCTCTGGCCCCAACATGCTCCTGGACAATCCACCACCACTTCCATGCCAGCAAGTCGCATTGCAAGGGACAGGTGGTTGCTCTCAACCAGACAAGGCCAAAGTCAGTCTTTCTTAATGGAGAAGAGAACTTTATCACTCTTGGGCACTTAAGACCAGGTGGCACGCCCATGAGGTAAATAATAGAGATATTAAATAAAGTGACCTTTAACAGGGTGTGCCATTTCCCCTTTCCCTCCTCTTCCACCAGCTTCCTAACAATCTGTCACAGTTACAGAAACCCATTCTGTTGCCGCTGCTCCACTACCACTATACAGAAAACCCACTTCCGCTCTCTTCCCAGCAAAGCCAACAAGTGACTGCAGGAGTCTGTAAATGAATCATCGATCCAGTTAAAGATACAAAATGAAGTGCTTTATTTTTCATTTGCAGAAAAACACATACTTGGAGCAGGTGACACAAAGACATTTTCATGACATTCTCCACTGACTCAGTATGATCTGGCAACTCTTGGAGGCCAGAAACACTTGGTTGGTCATAATGCCAATAATATTGTTTTCTGAGAACTTTGGGACAGTGCACACAGGCCCATCTCTATTGCTGGGAAGTAAGGAAAACAGTAGAAATTCTACAAATGACATAGTTCATGCAAACATGAATTTGCCACTCTCTGAGGCTCCGAAATGTCATATAATGCTCAGAACTCTGAAATTTCAGTTCTCCTTTCATTCTTGAGAAGTTACGATTAAACAATTATATAATAATTATTCCAGTTCTGTTTCTTGGATGAATCTGCTCTCTGGGAGAATAATACTAATTTACTCCATAGCTGCTAGCTAATAATGAAATAGTGAAGCATCTGCACACAATTAAAGCAGAAGTTTATTTCTGAAATAATGAGTCTGAATGTTCAGTTAGAATGTATACATATGGTCCCGTTTACTGAACTTCATCTTGAAAAAGTTGCCTTGCAAGTGGCTTCTGTCAAAATATAATCATGTTTGACTTGTAATTGGCAAAATCAGATTTAGGATTTACAGAGTTTCTTTTTGAAAGAGAATTTCATTTTTGTTTTTGGATGCTGATCCACTTACAATAAAGTTAACTGAAAGCCCCTCCAAGCTATTGAAAGTGAACATTTATTGTGGCTTGGTTTGGAAACCTTTCATTACAAATTTAGTTGGGCCATTTAAAAACCCTCAAAGGCGCCAGGCACTTTCTCCCGGCCCACCCAGCTGTATATCAGGGCCTTTTAACATGCACTTATCCTGCACATTAAATATAATTTCAGTGTAGCTCTGAAAGATGAGTTGAGTTGAATTGCAGGTGATTACATTTCCTAGATATTTAAGGAGTGTTTTCCCAATTTTTCCATTTTCTTGTCTTATTTTGCAGCCAATAATTTGTGTTTTAGGTTCCAAGCATATTCTAGTGGTCCTGAAAAACGAGATGCAGCAGACACTGAGTCTCAGGGCCAAATGGACACAACAGCCCTGAGAGTCGGTTCTCTGTCTGTTGCGACCATTTCAGTGCCATGAAGTCTTCGACCGAGATCAGGGAACAACTGAACTCCAGTTCCTCGGCCCATTAAAAAGAACCACACACACACATAGATATCATCATGGTGACGGCTAGTAGGTCTGATATTGGAGAAAGACGAATTGATGTCCAAGGTTTATAAAACCCCGCATGCTTGAATGTCAATGAAAAATTGCTTCCCGTGTCAGTTTGGGTAGCATTTTTTTTCTGAGTGATCACGGGGAAAACGTACATCTGTATGGAAACAGTACAAAGAGTTTCGATTTGACAGCACGTTGGCCTTGTGGTACCCTCATCACAGCTAAATGATCGATTTCCCAGATGAGAGAATGGTAAGGCTGCCTGGAGCCTGGAGCCGTGTGTGGAGCTCTGAGTCGAGTCGAGTCTGGTCCTAAGGCTCCTCTGCCACAGTGCCGCTTGCTTTGCAGGAGTCCCAGTGTGATAATTGCAGATCCAGCTCTCTGCTCACCTAATCAACCTGGCACAATTTCCTTGGGTGAAAGGCATTGCCTCATCTAGTCTGCAAGGGTTTCCAGCCAAACCCCAAGCTTCAGCTGGGCTTCCACTTAACTGTGCGGGATAACAGATTCCAGGCGCCTTCGCTCAGGGACTTGGAGACCAGCTCTGCCCAAGGACCCATCTGACTCACAACTCTGGACGTCCAAAGTCAGAGGACTGGCCTTTTCCGTTGAAGAGCACCCACCTTGCTTCCACAAACCCCTGTGTACAAGGGGCAGATTTTACTTAAATGTCCAGTTGCACAGCACAGAGTGCCTGGCAATAAACTGGTTTTTAGATTTACACCATCAGAATGAGCCTGCATTCACAGGGTGAACTAGAGGGATGCTGCATTTAAACTTTAGCCCAGTGGCCAACGGAAGGGAGAGAATGAGGAGGATGGAGAGAAATGTGGGTCCAAATCTCGCTCCCCACTTCAAGCCCCTTCCACAGATCCAGGGTCACTCTACAAGAGGCTGGAGAGAAAAATCCTATCATGGTATGTGCCAGATGGTTACTTATTTATTTACACATTCATTCATTCATTCAACAAACGATTTAGTACCAACAAGCCTCCAGGCCCTGTGTCATGCCCTTGACTCCACTGGCCCCTATGGATGTGGCTTCCATTTTTCCCAGGGAGAAAGGTCGAGTTCTTTCCCGGGGAGGCTGCTCCCCGTCTCCAAGGGACCCCAGGCGGCCACCCCCAGAGGGGCCACGACTATCCAAGGCCCTGTCCGCCCACGAGGGCGCGAGCAGTCTCCGCGTGCCCCCGCCCCCGCCCCCGCCCCGGGCCCAGCTCTCTGCAGCCCCTCTGCGTGAACCCGCAGGACCCGCGGGCCCCACGCAGAGAGCGGGAGGCGAGGCCGGGCTCCGCATCCGCATCCGCCCAGCCCGACCCGGCCCGGTGCCGTCCGGTCCTGCCCCGCGCCGCCCCCACCTTACCAGGGTTTTGGCAACGTTCCCCCTCTGGGTGATGTTTTTGCTGTGCTTCTCGTTAGCCATCCGGATCCGCTGTTTGGCCACCATGGCTCGGGCGCGGTGACACGCTCGCGACTGCCACCTGCAAAGATTTCCCCCGCCGCGTTAACCCCTGCGACCAGGCCGAGCGCGTCCCGCCGAGGGCCCCCGCGGCCCGCCCGGGCGCTGCAGGTGGCAAGGCGCGGCCCGAGCCCCGCGCACCCGCTCGCGAGCCCCAGCGAGCCGGCTCCGGAGAGAGGCCAGAGCCCGGACGGAAGTAATCTCTCATCTCAGGAAACCCTCTCCGACTTCCTCGCTATCCTTCCGGTCCCCCCGGCTACCTACCCAGCACGGCCACCCAGGCAGGCGCGGCCGCGCGTCCCCTCGCGCCCGGCGGCCAGAGCGCGCGCTGAGCCCCCTGGGCCGGGGCCGGGGCCGGGGCCGGGCCGCTCTGCCACCCTGTCCCGCGGCCGAACGCGCTGGGGTCCAGGGTTGGCGCGACCGCGGTGTCGGTGCGCGCATGCAGGGAAGAGGCGCGGCCGCTGCAGGGCCGGTGGGCCGGGGACCCAGCCCTGGCCCGGAGGAAAGATTTGGGGCGGCCACGCTTCAGGCCTGGACGCATGGTCTCCCCTGCACCTGCCCCGCTACCCATTGGTCCAGTCCTCAGAAGACAAACAGGCAGCCGGGGCAGGGCGTCAGAGCTGTGGGGGCACACTCCAAAGGTGCCTATTCCTCAGGGCTCTGGGAAGGACCCCCGCGGTAACGGAGCCCTACCATGGAGAGCTGCAGGAGCGGACTCACGGGACCTTGGGAGTTGTGAGCATTGTATTGGAAGATGGGCCAGCGACACCTCTGAGCAGATTGGGAAAGAAGGACGTAGACTGAGGCCTTGTAGCCTTGGTCTTATTGGGTGGTACCCGCTCAAATCAGATGCTTTGGCCAGTCGTGGCCTCCTATGCCCAAGGAGCCTGGACCTGCCTCCAGCTGCTTTTGTGCCCAGGCGTCTGAGTGTGGCCTCCGGGACTGAACTGGGCGTTCGCCTGCAGCGGAAAGATGCAAATGGAAGCATTGTACGCCTTGCCAGCCGTGTGTTTAGGACTCTATCTTAGATGGCTCATTTTTCCACCTGCTGAGCACACTGCCATTAGCTGTTTGACATTCAGAAGAGTAAAGGGGATGAGAAAAAGAGGCACTGAACCTGGAAGATTTGGGGAAGTGGGAACTGGGATACCAGCACCCCCAGTGTAGGGAGGAGGAGCTGCAGCCCACGCACCTGCAACCCTTCTCTTGCAGGCTCATGGAGCTGGGTTTGCACAGGGTTTTGTGTGAGTAAAATCCCCCATGTCAGGGCAAGTTTAGGGAGAGCGCCAGTCTTCAGGAGCTTATCTGGAAGTCACTCCCGCTTTTTGTCATTCAAGCCTTGGCACTGGAGGCAGAATTACCAAGGGGTGTTGGTATCAGCTGGTCACTCTTTTTTCTGCTCAGGAGTTAGGTCAGTTTCAAAGGAGCCTTCTGCTGGCTTCTAAACCCTCATTGCCAACAACAGGACTCTTATCACTGGACTGCAAACCAAGCCTGCTCAACCCTAGCCCCATGTTTCATTAGCCACTGTCCCCACATCAGTAACTCCTGCAGGGTATGAGACCTAGTGAGAAATAGGACATAAAGAAAAAGTAAGGGTCTCCTTCCCCAGCTCCCCGCCACCACCAATTCCCACTGTTTCTAGGATGCCTTTCCATTTTCCGAGGGTGTACAAGTCTACTGGTATAATCCCAACAGAACAACAGGAATGCTGTACACACTGTTCTCCCCCTTGCTTTTCTCACTTAATTTGTTGGCAATATTATCACTTACCTGTGTCCTTTTTCTTCCCTGTAGTACGTTATGTCCCATAGGATGATTGTACAGTCCCACATTGAACTGTTGGATTTTTTAATGTGGTTGCTAGTGATGCTTTAGTGAATATCCTTGTCTACACATCCTATGTGCTTATGCAAACACATCTCTGTGCACTGTTGTCGAATCTGACACCAAAACTCCTAAAACCCTTGGAGTCTCCAGAGTGAGAAGTGTCTTTCCTATACTGATGAGATGGCCTCTGTACGGGAGCCCCTCCAGAACTCTAGGATGGGCACCAGCAACTGGAAAGACCAAGTCACAATTGGAGGGTTGGGACTTTCAGCTTCCCCTGCCCCCAAACTCTGGGGAGGAGAAGGGGCTGAAGATTGAGTCAATCACCAATGGCCAATGATGTAATCAATAATGCCCATGTAATAGGACCTCCAGAAAATCCCCAAGAACTGGATTCAGTGAGCTCACACATGGATGGTGCTGGGAGGCTTGGAAGCCCCGTGCTTTACCCTATGCACCTCTTCCTTCAGGCTGTTCACCTGGATCTCCTGTAATATCCTCCTTAATAAGTGGGTATGGTTTCCCCAATTTCCGGGAGCCATTCTAGCAAATTAGTCAAGCAGAAGAAGGGGCACATGGAAGCTCCAATACATAGCCAGCTGGTCACAGGTTTAGCTGTGATTGGCATCTAAGGGGAGGGGGGCAGTCTGATGGGATTAAATCCTTAGCCCGTAACATCTGATGCTATCTCCAGATAGATGGTGTCAGGACTGAATTGAATTAGAGCACCTTCAGCTGTGTCCACTGCAGACTTGCTTGGTGTGTAGGGCAACCAGCCCCTAGACAGCTGGTGTCAGAAGGCTGTGTCAACTGTGAGAGAGTAGGAGACACACTTTGAGTTTTCCTGTGCCACTGAAACCGTGCAGTTAGGTTCCTGGAAGTAAAATTATTACAATATTTTATGTCCTTTAGTAGAAGAGTTCCTGGTTCTGTTTGGTGGTTTGGAGAACCTGTGCCGGGACCCTCACTTCAGCCACTCACCCTTCTACATTGGCCCTCTGCAGGCAGCCTGGGGCCTCTGCACACCTCCGCTCTGGGTATTGCCTAAATGATCAGCACTATTGACCACAACGAGTTTTTCCTCTCAACATGGATCCTTTACTCAGTCTCCCTTAAGTTTGAGGTTGAGCTGGCTCATTCCAGAGGCCCTTTCGCAGGGGACCTGGGGCCAAGCGCTGGTGCTCTGTGCTTAGGACGTTCCACAGTAACAACTGGACTGAGGGAGCCGTGCCTGGAGTCCCCTTGCTCTTTTAGTAGGGGAATGGAAAGTTGATTAAGACTTGGAAGTTCTGAGTGAAGCTCTGTTGGCAGCTGGAATTTTGTGACATGCCAGTAGCATGTAGGTTGCAGCCACAGCTTCTTTAAATTTTTTTTAAAGATTTATTTATTTATTTGAAAGTTACAGAGAGAGAAGGATGGCAGAGAGAAAGAGGTCTCCCATCCGCTAGTTCACTCCTCAATTGGCCGCAATGGCAGGAGCTGAGCTGAGCCGAAGCCAGGAGCCAGGAGCTTCTTCCAGGTCTCCCACAGGGGTGCAGGGACCCCTCTTCTATTGCTTTCCTAGGCCATAGCAGAGAGCTGGATTGGAAATGGAGCAGCCAGGACTCGAACCGGCGCCCATATGGGATGCGAACACTGCAGGCAGCAGCTTTACCTGCTATGCCACAGCGCCAGCCCCCGCCAGCCCTGGGTAAAGCACAAGGAAACTAAGTTGTGACTTTGGCTGGTAATTTTTTTTTTTTTTTGCTTTCAGGGCGAGAATTCCTAACAAGACTGTGTACCTTAGTCTGTAATTAGGAAATCCAGGCTGTCGCACCTAGAGGACCGGATTTATGAATGACTGGGTCTCATTTGTCTTTATAAACTGTGTATAATGAAGTTGCAGAGGTGCTACGCCGCTGAGCTCTGATGTAGTGGACACTCACCACGTTTTGCTGCTGACCGGCATGCAGACCCCTCTTACACTTGGGGGAGTCCCTCACTGTGTGAGTCTGAAGACTGTGAAGTCTAAGGGTACATGCTGGCAGTTTGGCCCAGCAGTTTAGACACTGCTTGGGATGCCCTGTATTTGAGTCCTGGCTCTGCTCTCAATTCTAGCTCCCCATGAATGCACACCGTGGGAGACAGCAGATGGTGTCGACATCACCTTTCACCCATGTGGCAGGCCTGGATTGAGTTCCTGGCTCTTGGCTTCAGTCTAGCCCAGCCCCAGCTGCTGTGGGCATTTGGAAGGTGAATCAGCAGATGATTCATCTGTGTATGTGTGTGTGTGTGTTTGTGTGTGCACATGTGTGCCTTCACAATGAATAAATATATATTTTCCAATAAAGAAGCAAAACGGGGTAGATCTCCTAACCCCTGACAGCATGGGTGTGTGACCCCGCTTGGTCAATCATGCCATCCTGTTTGGAACTCTGAATCTTGATCAGGTAGTACAAGGACAAGGGGACAGCAGGTATGGTGATGGCACTAGTGGTGGTAGTCCAACTTCTTTTGCAGGAGCTGGAATCCCCACAGGTAATTCCTTTGCTGCCTTCATTGGCCACGGTATGTTTATAAACAACCCGGAACCCTGACTATCACACACACGAAAACAAAGAACCAGAATGTCTTTCCTTTTTAGATCTGGAAAGACTATCACATCCCTTGGAACTTCCAGGCATTGCTAGCTAGTGACCTCTCTTCAGCTTATCTCATCAAGGGAGACTGAGGATAGAGGCCTTGGTGACAGGTGCTGTAGGTGGCCCCACTGTGGTCCCCACTGTGGAGGGGAGTGGTTGGCAGGCACACCCTATGCAAATAAAGCCGGCAGGTCACTGACACCTGTTCTTAGTCCAAACCAGATCCGGTACTGCTAGAGAAGATATAATTTGGTGAATCTCAATTCATCTCATTTCGTACCTACTGCTTACATTTTGGTGGAAATGTTCATGAAGGTGTCTCAGTAGTGAGTAGAGAAAAATAATGCGGTGGATAGCCAGAGTTATCTGCTGTACGCATCGGGATCAACACAGTGCACTGGGTTACAATTTTATGACCATATCGTGTGGTAACAGGAAGGTAACTCGGTCATTCGCTCATCTGCTTGGTGTTTATTCCGTGTCTGTTACATACCAGACACTGTTTTAGGCACACGAATTCAAGGACTGATAGGACAGCTTCTGCTTTAGGGGGCTGTCAGCTTTGTGAAGGAAACAAATCAGTAGGTTTTGTGAGATTGCTCTAATGCCACAAAGGAGCAAAGGCCCCAGAGCTGCTGAAGGGGTTCTGGCAGAGCTGAAAGCAGAACCGAGGCTTCTTGACTTCCCAGAATGCTCAAAAGAAACAGGTGCCCTGAGCGGGAGCCAGGCAGCCGGAGCTCGCTGCCTCGGGCTGGGCT